GACGTTGTCATGGACACTGTTTATGAAATGCACCCATATTTTCCCGTTTCTTGGAAAAAATATTATAAGTGTCACTGAAGTCTGCTCTACCCAGGCTAGAAAGTGGGCTTTCTGAAGAGCAAACGAAGGGCCCCTCTAGCCATGCAGAGAGAGATTCCATCAGAGGGAAAGACAGAGCCATGACATAGCCCAAGAGCTGAATGTCACAGCAGGCCCTAAAACTGGATCTCAGAAGGAAGTGGCAGACACACAGGGAGCAAGGAGAAAGGGGCACACAGAGCAGCCGAGGAGGAGGTGCAGGGAGACACAAGGTGCTGGGCTGTGGAGTCACCCAGGAGTCCAGGAGAGAAGCTCAGAGGTGGAAGGGGAGCAGCAGAGAAAATATGATAGGGAGGAAAATCTCTGTTCACAACAAATGGACAAATGAAGGCTGCTGGGGACATAGATTTGGGGTGAGTTTCTTTGGGATGTATTCATCGGAGAGGTGGACTAGAGAGTCCAGGAGGGCAGGGGGACTAGACAGACAATCCTGGGAGAGAGGGAGGACCTGAGGACTGAGTCCTGGGAAGAGGATGAGGGTAAGAGGCAAAGGAGGCCTAGGGGGAGGGAAGGGAGGAGAACAGACGGTGGAGCCCAGGAGAAAGCGCATCCATCACGTAGCAGGGAGAGATCAGCTGTGCTAACTGCTGACCACAGGTCAGCTAAGATGAGGACTGAGATATAACAATTCAATCTGGCAACCTCGAGGTCTCTGGCTTGAGGTAAGAGGGGTTTAGAGGAGGTCAGGGCCTGACTGGAGATGCAGGCTCAGGAGAGAGACAGAGGGGAGCAGATGCTGTCACAGGTACAGACTGCTCCCGAGCAGGGCTGCTGGGGAGTGGGCAGAGAATGGGCAGTAGCTCTGACTTATGCTTTACAGGCTTTTTATCCCAAAGTGCACATCCTGTGGTTGCTGCAAACTCCACAGGGAAGTTATCTACATAGACGTGGCTTCTACCTTACTACGGCCCTATAGACAGTCCTGGGGCCCCTCACCACACATGATCTCTGTTCTGGGCCCAGCCCATGCTTCTGCCCCTGGGTCTGTTCAGTCGAGGGGAGTGGTTAAGTCCTGGTTCAGGGAAAGGGCGCTGGACTAGGAGTCTGTGGCCCAGGCTTGATCCCAGCCTGCCCATGCCTTGGATCTATGGACCCGTCACCTACCCTCTTCTGCCCTTCCAGGAGCAACAAGCAACAGGCTCCCGCAGAAGGAACTTCCTGGCAGACACTCAATGGTCGGCCACCTGTTTGCACTGGATCCCCCAGTCTCCTCACATGGAGGCCACAGAATGGAGGCAACCAACTGCTCAGGGTAGATGTCAGCAGAACAAAGAACACCAGAGATTCATTACCAGATTCGTGTTCTCAACTCTTTACTCACCCAATAACGACTACTGCAAAAAAGCATCAACATTTAAAAGAAAATCCAAATGACCAGACCAGTCTCTCTCAAAGAGCACTGCACACTGGCCCAAGACTAAAAGGCTCCAGTGCTGTATTTTTACTGCTGGCTCCCAGTTTTATTATGACTCAGTTTTCCCAAACATGAAACAAGACCAACAATTTAGTTCACAGGATTTTTTTTAAATGCAAATTATGTATGTAAATACATTATAACATTATGTATAAAAACTAGGTATTCTTATGACTGTCACGCAAGATGATCACTCACACAGGGAAAACTGGATGTGGTCTGAAATCAAAGTGTGTGATAATTAAATAATTATCCCACATGAACCACAGCAATGAGCTCCTTCTAGCATCACTCACAACAGAATGAGATTCTTGCAAAATGGACACATTTTGGGATTAAGTATCATGACTTACCCTATAGCAAAAGAAAGCAGGATTAAAGCATATAGCAACCTAGAAACATCAACTGAAGATGAGTATGTATTTACAACACTTGTGAGAAATCTCACTATACATCCATTGAAGCCCTGAGAAAATGATTCACCTCAGACAAAATGTCTCCCTTTGTGATGTTTTCAAGGCAGCCAGGCATTGGTGCAGCCTGCCAGTGGCCCTTGCCTCTGCTTTTCTGTATCCTAATCCCTCTCCAGGCTTTTAATGGTGCAGATTTAGAGCCTGGGAGAGCTCATCAGGTTTCCTTTTCTGGTTTGACCGTGAGAAAGCTCAGAGCCAAATCTGTGCACAACTTCTTGCAGT